ACCTGCAGCACAGCAGGGGCTGTTGAAACGTATCTACATGCATATCTACCACGGCCAGCAAAGCTCTCCTTTCTCTCTTCGCTTCGTGCTCCTTATACAACACCCGCCCCTCTCATACGCAAGCACTCACTTGGTTGCGGTATTTGTTCCCCGCGGTTGAGCCCGATCGTGCTTGCACGTCCTGGGTCTTCACGGCAGCTAAGATGTGGGCGTGGTACACGCCGCACAGACCCGGGTGTTCGGCAGCAGCTACCTTGGCAGCTGAACGGGCCATGCTGGGCATGGGCTCGGGCTCGGTCAAGTGATCGCAATACTCCCCTCCCACGGCGGCGGCAATTTCGAAGGCGAAAGCACGCGCCAGATTGTTGTTTGTGCCATCTTCCGATGGTGGGTTGATGGCGATCAAAGACACCAACTGATCGTGGCAGGCCGTGTGTTGCCGGCCTTGTACGCCTCGACGTCGGGTGCTGGCAATTCCATAGCTTGCTCCGTAGCTTGGGGCGGTGTAAGGTGCTACTGCTGCTGTAGCTCGTGTGCTTTGTGTTTACAGGAGCTCTAGAGAGGTGGCAGGGCTCACATTGGGTGGGGACAGAGAAGTACAAGAAGTACATGTACTGCTGTACTAGCTATGGGTCTTCAATGATCATTTTGCGCCTTTTGACTGATAGGTGGGGAATATGCTGAAAATAGACTTGCTGAGGCACCTTGACGACCGATCATTGCAAAGTCTACAAGGCTAATCTGCCCTACCCGCCGCACCGCGACCACGCACCAACCCTTCTATGACCCTATATTCGGCCAGCACCCTGTCGCGGGCCACCCTCATGGCCTACAGGTGGAGATAGCTGTTGCGTGTGGAGAAGTACAGCGGGCTGTTTTGCTGTACTTCTCGCTCTCTCCGTCTCGCTCTCACCCCTCATTTTTTTTTTTGGTTTCAGAAAAAAAAAATATGAATCGAAACGGAACATGGGGATGACGGACCACGCTTTCGGCCGGCGACTAGTTGTTGTTGTTGTTGTTGTTGTCTTCACATTAAAAACCATCCCGGTACTAGCCTAGACCCAAAAGGGTTAAAAGTACTAGTAGTTATTTTCACCGATTTTTTTTTGTTTTTTGGGGGGCACTCGTTATCTTCCAACAGAGCGTACAATAATAACCCAGTATGTCTGCTGTATCTGACCTGTCGACACACATGCATAGCATCGACCGCGTCGACCGTCCACACACATGCTTCAACCAACGCCCAGTCCTCACCACACCCAATTGTTTTAGATGGGTTGCTAGATTGACACAGGTCGTTCGCACGTGTGCAAAATATGTCGTGTTCGAAGCATAATTAACGGTGAGTAGGTTGCACAAGATACCACATCCCCCTGACCAAGTTTCATCGATATTGTTCCACGACAAAGACGATTCCGAAAATCAAAGGATACATTGTTCGAAAAGCTAAAGACGAGACAGTTCCAATGCCGCCATTTCCGGCCTCGCCACTCCTTCTGCTGTGGAATACAAGTCAGGCTTTGGAAATCGGTTCAGGGGGGGTGGTATCTTATGTAACCAACTGCTGTCCTGTTAGATCAGTGGATTCGATTCTTCTCTGCGCCATATTTTTTCTTCTCACCACCCTTTTTTCTCTTTCTTTTTCCTCCGGAATTTCGATATACCCCTTTGAAAACATTTTTGGCCTTAATAAACAAAATACCGAGTAAAGCCCTGAGAAATATGGCGTGTCAGAGATCGGAAAGTTTTTTTCTTTCGATATCAAGACAATAACAACAACTGAAAAAGGCGGTCGCAGCGGGTCCCCCCATGCCACGCCACTGGTGCGAAGCGAAGAGGGCACCAGTGGTATGCATAGCAGAGCGGAGGGATATGCATGTGCGTCTTCATACATTGCGTCTCACCCACTCCCCCCC